GGATGCCTGAAACTCCTGATACTACTGAACCCTATGTATACTATGTATTTTTTCGTATACATACATACTTATGATTAAGTTTAATTTATAAATTAGGCCCAGTAAGAGATTAACAACAAGGAATAATAAAATAAGACAGTTATAGCAATATGCTAGCATCACTACCCTTACACTTTGGCATTTTTCAGTAGAATAAGGGTTTCTTGAACACAAGCGAGGTTTTATCAGGCTACTCAGAACATTGCTCTTTCTTTTATACTCATCTAATCCATCATGAAATTCTGTGGCTTGGCTTTCAAAGTATATCCAGGATTTGACCACTTATCATCACCCTCATTGCTACTACACAGTTCAATCCATGGTTGCTGGTCAAATGTGCCATCATAGTCAAATCCACTATCATAGTCAAATTTACCATCATAGTTCACCTGGGTTATGTGCAGTAGCCTCTAACAGGGCTCTCTGATTTCACCCTTGCTTCATTTCCACCTCCAGTCTTTCCTCAACGTAGTAGCCGAGCAATCCTTATAAAACTAAATCAGATCACTTCTCTCCTAAGTTCAACACTCTCCAATGACTTTCCATTTGAGGTAAAGTAAAATCCAAAGTCCTGGCTGGGCACGGTGGCTCATGCCAGCAATCCCAGCACTTTGGGAGGCCAAGGTGGATGGATCACCTGAGGTCAGGAGTTCAAGACCAGTCTGACCAACATGGCGAAACCGTGTCTCTACTAAAAAATACAGAAATTAGCGGGCATGGTGGCAGACACATGCAATCCCAGCTACTCGGGAGGCTGAGGCAGGGAGAATTGCTTGAACTCGGGAGGTGGAAGTTGCAGTGAGCTGAGATCATGCCACTGCACTCCAGCCTGAGTGACCCAGCAAGACTGTATCTCAAAAAAAAAAAAACAAAAAAAACAAAAAAAAAAACCCCGCAGTCCTTCTAATTAATTACAAGGTCATACAAGGTCATCCATGAATTGGCCTACCATTATTTCTCTGGTACATTTCCTAGCACTCTCTCCCTAGCTCACTATACTATAGCTAAAGCAGCTGCCTTGCTGTTCTTAGGACACACTGAGCATGCTTTCACTTATGGGGCTTTGGACTGGCTGTCTCTTCTACCTGAACATTGCTTTCCAGATATGCTCTTAGTGAGCTACCTCAACTCTTTACAAGGTTACCTTCTCAATGGACTTCGTTGTGACTCTTCTATTTACATTAGTTAACTCTACCAACATTCTCCTCTCGATTCCCTAACTCCTTCACCTGCGCCATTTTTATTTCTGTAGCAATTATTGCCTTTTAAAATACTGCATAATTATAATTAAGCTTAGTATTTCTTGTCTGTCTCCTCTACTAGAAGTTCCATGAGGGTGAATGCTTGTCTGTTTTGTTCATCTGTGTTTCACAAGTTTCTAAAACAGTACCTGGCACATAGTAGACACTCAATAGATACTTGCTGAATGAAGGAATAAATGCATAATAGAGCAATAATTAATTGTCATATGCCAGGTCTTATTGTAAGTATGTTTTATATCTTGTTTCATTTAAACCTCACCACAGTCTGTGAGGTAGGTATTAATTATTCTTAATACAAAGATAAAGAAACTGGCTTAGAAAGGTTAAAGGTAGAACTGAGATTTGAACCCAGGCAGTCTAATCCCAAAGCCTCTCAGTTTTTAAATTCAACCACCCTATTAAGTTAGGAAAATAGGTAAGTGGTTATGATTATTCTCATTTTCTAGATGACAGAACTGAGACTTAGAGATTTTAAGTAACTTTCTCAAGGTGAATGGGAACCTTAGGTTGTCCTGATGCCCTAAGTTCATGGGTTTGTCATAACTTGGCCTGGTGTCTCTCCTTGCCCTTTTCAGGGACTCCTTCCCTTCAGTGCTCACTGTTTTTCTGTGTCTTCTCTTCCATGTCTAAGGCATTCCACAGTCTTTGTTAACCACAGAATTCCCTGTAGTAGTCTACCACAACATAGTTCTCTTTGGTTGTACCTCTTCTTAGATCTCTTACTGCTATCCCTGACAAAAGGAAGAAAAACTATCATCCTTCTCTCAAGAAAAATACACATACACATAACATCTAGACCACAATAGGCTCTAGCTAAAACTGATTAATTCTTGTCTTCAGTCCTCTTGCAATAAAAAGATACCTTTCTACCATCCCATTTTCTGAGGTCTCACTAACTAATTGGTTAGTTATTATTAAATGTGTCAGTGAAGGCTTATAGATTCATTTATTCATTTTTGCATTCATTCATTCATTCACTCCATAGGCATTTTTGAGCACCTATTGTGTACAAGGCAGAATACTAAATTTTGTGGGGAATCAAAAATGACCTTTGTAGTACTATGCCCTCAAGACATTTCCAATCAGAGCCGGTGAGATTCAGTTTGAGTATTTTTGTCTGAGTTTTCACTTTCCACTAGATTCATTTTTGAAAGGCCATGAGACTGCAGTTGCTACAGCCACTGTGTTGCCATGACAGGAGATCCTGTCTAGATTGGAGCAAACCCAGAAAAACCAGCTCAAAGAGGTAGAGAGACAGAGAGAGGAACTGGCTCCTGAGGACACAGTTTTAATCCCTGCATCAAGCTGTGCCTGAAGCTAACCCCACAGTAGTCTCTTTCCGTAACAAAGTCCAAAAAAGGATTTTCTTTACACTTAAGTCAGTTTGAGTTGTATTTTCTGTTATAAGCTTTTAGAATAGTCCTACTACATATAGGCCTTTCTAGTTATATTTTTAACATCCTGGTATCTTTCCAGAGAGAGCTTCACACACAAGGAGCCACCTTATCATCCTTCACTCAGTGCTGAAAATGAGCATCTGGTCTGCCTTTGGGCCAGTGCTAAATCTCTTCAACAGCATCCTTTACCGAAGCAACATTGTCCCAGAATCTGCTGAAGCAGCAAGAAAAAAGAGGTCAGCAGTAGGACCAAGCTGCCTATCTTCTTAGTTAGGCAGGAGGGCATCACTGTTGAGGCCAAATGGACACTTACTAGAGCAAGGTGGCTGGAAACAACTGTTCTAGGAAGAACCCAAGGAAAAATTTCCAGGAACAGAAAATGTATGTGGGTTGTATTCTGTAGTGCAAGTACTAAGGGAAGGGGGTGGTCTCAGAGGGTTAGCCAGTAGTACATTGCCAGAAATGGTAAGATGCAGAGGCTACTGAAAGAGACAGCATTTAGACATCTGTCATAACAAAGGACATTCAGTAGCTAAGAGATCATTTTAAATAGCACCAAATATTTTTTACAGTTCCTATCTTTTAATCCCTCTTCCACCTTCCCTGATTAAAACATCATAAAGATGAGGGGCAGGAGAGGAGGTGAAACAAAGAAAATGAAAGAATAGACGGTTTCTTCCTTTATCCTTCCCAACTATGAGTCAGGCCCAAGCTGAGGGAAAAAGAGAAGATTCAGTTGAATGAGAAATGGAATTTTTTATTTCAACTGGACTTTTGACATACCTGAATATCTAATTGTTCTAATATCTCAACAGGACTGGGAAGCTAAGGGATTTGCCAAGGCATGGGAAAAAGAGAATCTTTATGTTTGAAGAGTGATAGAAAAAATAAAGCTGTTCATTATTACATTCTACCGTGTTTAGCCAATTAAACAAACAGGCTTTACTGGAGGTGGTTCTGTGGTATTCTACAGGCTCATCTTGAGTTAGACCAAGCTTGTCCAAACTGTAGCCCACACATGTGACCCAGAACAGCTTTGAATATGGCCTAACACAAATTTGTAAACTTTCTTAAAACATGAGAATTTTTTTTGCAATTTTTTTTTTTTATTTTTTGGCTCATCAGCTATCATTAGTATTAGTGTATTTTATGTGTGGCCCAAGACAATTCTTCTTCCAGTGTGGCCCAGAGAAGCCAAAAGATTGAATACCCTGAGTTAGACCATAAGAAACAGCACAATGCAAATTACCCTCATATTTACTATCATAATGGTTTCTCTAGAAGAATTCATGAGGAAATATCTCTATGAGCTTAGTATCAGGAGTAGTTCTGCTTCTCTAGACCAAGTGTTGTGCTTTTATTCAGTTGGTATACCACATGAAACGGGCGTGTGAGTGAGAAAGATACATTCTATGGAAGTTACTTTATTTATTTATTATTCATTTTTTTTTGAGACAGGGCCTTGCTCTGTCACCCAAACTGGGTGCAATGGCATGAACATGGCTCACTATAGCCCTGACTCCTGGGCTCAAGCAATCCTCCCGCCTCAACCTTCCAAGTAGCTGTGACCACAGGTGCACGCCACCACAACTGGCTAAATTAAAAAAAGAAAAATCGTTGAGATAGAATCTCACTATGTTGTCTAGGCTGGTCTTGAACTCCCGGGCTCAAGTAATCCTCTCACCTTGGCCTCCCAAAGTGCTGGGATTATAGGAGTGAGCCACCACACATGGCCTATAGGACATATTTTGTCACTGACAATGTTTACAATTGCTGATACATGTTGGTAATATGAAGCAGATCAACTGTTACTCTGTTTTATTGCAATTTGTACGTTTTCTACAGAAAATGCACCCCATCATTGCCTATAACCCACCCACGTAGACTGAATCATGTTTTACAGATGAGTTTTGGCTACTAAAAGCTTAGAGTCAAACCTGTATGCCTCTTCCTTTGTCTACCAATACATTTTGAATATTAGGCCTCGGCCCTGGCTCCAATTTAGATTACCATTTTTCCCCTACTTTGTCCCTGTCTTTGACCTTTTAACTTCTATTCTTTGTGTGCATAACTTTGTAAGCACTGTTAGATCCTTGTTGCAGCAATGTACATAAGCAATGTAATAAACAGAAAGGATGAGATTCAATGCACATATCGAATCATCCTGTGTGTGTAGAATCACAAGTGCATTTCATTCTAGACACAAGACATAATTTTATACATTTCAAAATGCAATAAATGATTCCTAGAATGCTATTTTAGAAACTTTCCTTAGGAAGCAGCACCACGTGGCATAACTCACCTACCCCAGTAGTGTGATCTCCCTTTGGTCCTGTGTAGGAAGTGGGAGTTTCTCCCCTCCTCCTGTGCCAGCTGCTCCTGTTTCTTTTCTCCTGAGTAAATGTACATTCATCTTGCTCGAAAGTACACTCTCCAGGTGGTGGTGGAAGTTTCTCTGCAAGAAAATAGCAGGTGTTGGAATTGCTGAGACTCTTTCAGTGACTCTGTGTTGCTAGCAGCCCACTCTGCATGTATGAATGTTGTCTGGCCATATGCCATGCCATGGAGAGGCAGCCCGCACTGGCAGCCCACCTACACGGAGCCATTGCTTCCAGCTAGAGCCTGCACTCCACTGTGGGTCCTACCACAGACATAAAGAACAATCAGATACACAGATCTAAAATACTGGGCTACTTTGAGAAAAAACTTTCTCTGACTTGTGAATTTGTGTGAATTTCTTTTCATAAAGCTCTGGAAATTAGAGGTATATTGCCTTCATGAAAATATGGAAAATAATAAAATGGCATAATGCAGGCACTTTCTTCAGAAATCCTGGATGAGTGAAGGGTATCCTCATAACAACTCCACGGTTGCTTTGGAGGTGGGGGAGAATGTGAGAGTGCTAAATGGACTCCTGGAGGCATAGCTGTGCGGAACAAATGACTTCATTTCTCTGTGCCTTAGAGGTCTTATCTGTAATGTGGGAATACTGATGGTACTCACTTCATGGGTCTGTGAGGATTAAATGAGATGGTATGTGTAAAGCGATAATTTTGAATGTGATGTTCTCAACAATCAAATTTTAGAACTTATTTTGCCACCCAGAGGTTTATTTTCCTTTTCCCAAATCCAATGTTTATGTCTTTGAATGCTATCTCCAATACATTCATAATTATGAGAATGGTGCTTCCTCCCAATTTATTGGGGACTTCTCTGACTAAACTTGGTTGTACCTCCCTACATCCAGATTCTTAGCAAATTTTTCTAATAAATAGCTTGTTTCATATGTCTCTTTTGTGATCATTGTTTTACTTCATTTTATTTTACATACAGTACTAGTTAATGAAACCTCATTCTTCTATGCCTTGAGTGGAACGATTTTTACCTGGGTTGTCCTTACAGTGCCTGGCAAATCAAGGGACTAAGAACAAGTTGTCTTTTAATTAAATAAACATGGAGATTATTCTCCAGTGCCAGACTGATACCACGATTTGCCTGTGTGTCAAATAAATGGATGTCCTATGATGTAGGATGCAATGGTAATTAGCAGATACAGACCAATGATCGGGATTGAGTTATGCATCATTTTCTCATTAGACATAATGTATGACACATAGCTAGCTACCATGACTTTATTTTGCTACTATCATCATTGCTTGATCTATTATTCCACTGTCATTTAATTCACTTAGAAAATGTTTACTAAAATTTTAAAAGTATGTGCTTAGAAAATATCTGTGAAATAAGAATTTCATCAATATTGCTTGAAAATCTGCATTCATGTAAGATAACAAAAACAACAGTAATAGTAATAATTATAGTAGAAGATATTTGCTTTTAAAGCACTATTTTATGCCAGGTCTTATGCTAGGAAAATGTATATGTATTATTCCCAATATTCAGGTAGATATCACTAGCTCCCTTCCAAATGAAGATAAAGGGGTTAAGTCACATGTACAAAGACACGTATTAAATTGGAATCATCATTTCTAAATTTCAAAGCCTGCTACACAGCTCTGCAGGAGACATTTTGTCAACAAAAGCAAAGGATGGACTAGCACAGATGAAATGTATGTGGTTCTCAGTGATACAGGAAATGTATGTAGAGGCCAGAGAGACAGAGAGCTGAAATGATTGCTGTCTTACCTGAAGATGAGCAGCTTCCCAATTGTACTGTAATGTCATCCAGGGCTACAAGCCCACAGTCCCAGAAACTTTTGCATAGGCTCATGAAAACCACCTGAAATTCATAAAAATAAAGCCATGAATTCTGTTAACTGAAAACTGGAAACTCTTAACAACCTGGGATTCACTTAGCACAGCAGACGAGCATAAGCAGACTACAAACAGCTCTTCATCATCTGTATGAACAACAGAACACAGTGGCAAGAAGAATGGTTACCATCTGCATAAAACCCTAGAATTACTTTTATTATTGTTATTAATTTTGAGATGGAGTCTCGCTCTGTTGTCAAGGCTGGAGTGCAGTCGGGTGATCTCGGCTCACTGCAACCTCTGCCTACTGGGTTCAAGTGATTCTCCTGCCTCAGCCTCCTGAGGAGCTGGGATTACAGACACCCGTCACCACGCCCAGCTAATTTTTGTATTTTTAGTAGAGACGGGGTTTCACCATGTTGGCCAGGCTGGTCTCAAACTCCTGACCGCAGGTGATCTGCCCGCGTTGGCCTCTCAAAGTGCTGGAATTACAGGTGTGAGCCACCACACCCAGTCTAGAATTACTTATATATTTGAGCAGAGTATAATGATACATTGTGCATACTAATGCTGAAATCAGTGGCATTTCATAAAGAATTGACAGGAAGAATGAGGAAAGCAAGAACTGCGTGACAGAGAAAAACCTGTCAGGTTTTAAACATTTTCCCCAGATAATCCACAAAGTGCATATAGACTTGATGGTTTTCTGAGCATTTTTCAAACATTTCCAGTACAAACACTATTGATTTTTTGGAAATGACTTTCTGGCAACATGCTTCATTCACATCGTGAACAAAGTCCTGGTGATTTGCCATCTGGAGGCTTATGTTCCATTTCCAAAGACAAAGATCTATGTTCTCAGTTGGTATCACTAATAAAAGCCCTAAATGCAGTTATTTTATCAGTCCAAACATTTTTATTGTTGTGTGTGAAGGAAAAACAAATCCATACCATAAATTATTAAATCTACTGTTCCAGAGAAAGACAGAAAAGTCTTAGATTTCTTTCCATTAGGCAAATTTTAAAGGCTGCTTTTTATATATAGGATGAGCTAAGAGACCTTTTAAAAACATTTGTATTAGGTTTTCACTGTACTTGTGGTTTACAAAGCTGCTTTGAATATATCACAACGTTTAAGTAGCACAAGCTCATTTAGTCCATGTTCAATCAATCCCTCAATTACAAATCTAATTCAAACAAAGGATGATATAACAGAAGTTAAAACCCAACTTACAAATAATGAGAACACTTGATTTTTTTAGGCTCTAGTTTAAAATGTTATGTCTTAAATTTATTATCAGTAGGGTTCTTTTGCTTTTTGATGATCAGATTCATTAGAATGTGGAATTTATTTAAAAAGAAATGTAAAGATCATGTGACAGCTTACCAGTATGCAAAATATAAAATGTCTTAATCCAAGACCTTCTGGATAATTACTAATCATAAGATGTGTGAAGGTTTACCTGCACTGTATTCATATTGCTTTCAGTTATAAAAAGGATAGTTTGGACTTGTCACAATATATAACTATGTGTATATACAATGTATAACTATGTATGTATACAAAGAACAAAACAAAACAGGTGAAATTTTTTTCTCATTTACTTCTGTTAATTTTCTCATGTTTATAGATTCTAGAGATGATCTGAACATGTGAAATATTTTACTTGCAGAGTTTACTACTGGGAACCTATTCCCTGTTTGTAAAGCAAAGTTCTGTGTTACCAGCCCTGAATGCGGTTATATTTTAGCAGCAACTTTGTTATATGGGAAGGAATAATAATCCATCTCATAATTTACTGAATTAATTGTGGTGCAGAGAGAAAAGTCTTGGCTTTTTTTTAATGGGGTGTCAGGGGGTGGCTTTAAAGTCTATTTTTCACAAGTATAGTAAAAATGTACCTTTTCAAAATGAGTATGTGGTAATGAAATGGTTCACCATCTAAATCATTACCTGCTTAAAACTCAAACATTTGGCATGGTAACAGATTCTAAAGAAGAGAAATATTAACATGCTTTTGTATGTTTACTACAGCATTATTTTATAGTGATCATAAAACCATACAAGCAAGCAAGCAAGCAAACACCCAAAATTTTTAAAATAGAGGAAATAAATGAACTATGGCACAATTATCTAAGAAACTGGCCACTGTCAGATCTGATAACTTGGGCATATTATTTTGTAGTACAGAAATATATTCCTCTCATAATGTTAAGTGAAAAAAACTAAATAAGACAAACGAATATCTAGTTCATCTAAAAATACATAGAAAAAGCCTGGAAATTTTACCAAATTTACAACAATTATGTTAGACTCATAAAATTATAGGCATTAAACAGAATTTCCCCCTTCTTTCTATATTTATATGTGTGTGTGTGTATATACACGTGTATATATATGTGTGTGTGTATATATATACGTGTGTGTGTGTGTGTGTGTGTGTGTGTGTGTGTATTTTTGAGGGGAATGGAGTTTTGCTCTTGTTGCCCAGGCTGGAGTGCAGTGATCCTATCTCAGCTCACTGCATCCTCCACCTCCTGGATTCAAGCAGTTCTCCTGCCTCAGCCTCCCGAGTAACTGGGATTACAGGCATGTGCCATCACACCCTTCTAATTTTTGTATTTTTAGTAGAGATGGAGTTTTGCCATGTTGGCCAGGCTGGTCTCAAACACCTGACCTCAGGTGATCCGCCCGCTCAGCCTTCCAAAGTGTTGGGATTATAGTCGTGAGCCACCGCACCCAGCCTCTATATTTATATTTGACACAAAGAAAAAGGAATCAGGATATTTACAATTAAGATGTGGAATAAATAATCAGTTAGTCATTATCATTTCCTAGATGATCTTATCTATTATGATAGCCACTAGGTACATGTGTCTATTAAAATTAAATTAAATTAAAAATTCATGTATTCAGTCACACAAACCACAATTGAAAATGCTCAATAGCCACATGCAGCTCATGGTTAACTGAATTGGACGCAGCAGGCATGCAGCATTTCCTTATTACAGAAAGTTTTGTTGGATAGACTTCCCTGGCTCCTTTTGGATATTCCAAATACTTTGTGAATTGCCACAGTGGGTTGAAAGAAATGTTAAACATGTTTTGGACAATAGCAGGCATCTAGGTTGTCCTACCTTAGCGCTTTTTCCACACTTAGAACATTAGCCAGACTATGTGTTGTTCTGTCTGATAAAAGATCCCCAAGTCAGCTACTGACTAGGTTCAAACGATGGCCTCAAGCCCCAAATTTGGTTGGCAGTTGTCTGTCAGTATTCCAACACACAAAAGAAACACAACCAGGTCAGCCTGTTTGATCTAACACACTGGATTTTCCGCCTGGCTGTTAGTAATGCTGCTCATGTCAGCTCTTTACTGACATGAAGTTTGGGGCCGCCGTTTTACATTTTGTATGCTCCTTGAGGTGGAGAGGTTATTTTAGAGTAAGTAGTTGGTGACTAGACAAGCGGATGAGTGGGCCTGGTTGAGGCAGGACAAAGAATAAGTCAAACATCTTGTCCTGTTCTTAAGGAGTTACCCTCTGGGTCCAGTTAAGAACGTGACAAGAAGGGAATCAGTCATAGTCTAAATTATTGAAGGGATTAACCTCTTGTTTATTTATAGATCTTTCTTTAAAAACAGTGTTTATTTCATTTTAGGCAGTATTTCAAAGCAAGTGGAACATCTCTAAGACTGGAAAAAAAGACAGCTTAAATATATATTAATATATAAGAGGGTACCATACCCTCTTAAATATTAAATATATTAAATATTAAATTAAATATTAATATTAAATATAGGCATGAGCCAGCATAGCTAATGCATATAATCCCAGCACTTTGGGAGGGTGAGACAGTAGGATCACTTGAGGCCAGGAGTTCAAGATCAACCTGGGCAGCATAGAGAGGCTCCATCTCTACAAAAGAATTTCAAAAATTAGCTATATGCACTTGTAGTCCAGCTACTTGAAAGACTGAGGCGGGAAGCCCTCTTGAACCCAGGAGTTGGAGGCTGCAGTGAACCATGATCATGCCACTGTACTCCAGCCTAGATGACAGAATGAGACCCTGTCTCTAAAAAACAATTAATTAAAAAAAAGAGGGGGGAAGAAGATGAGGGACCAAGTAAAGTGATATCTCTTAGAAAGGTATTCCTGATTTTATGCAAATCTCTTAGAAGTTAGAGACAAATTAAATTTATGTAAATCAATATCTCCATCTAATGAAGATCCCAGTCCTTAGGTACTGATAATACTTTAAAATGTTTGTCTTGATGGAGAATATTCATAGCTGAAGAAATCTGCCTAGACTAACTGGAAACACAAACAGGCAGTGAATGGAGAGCTGTAAAAACATATTTGCAAAGAAATAATTTTAAGTACAGTCAAGGAAGGATCAACAATATTACTTAACTTACTCTCTACTGTACTAAAAATACATAGTATACATGCTTTTAAAAATCCACAACAGAGTATTGCTACCTCAGCACTACTGACGTTTTGGGCCAGATAATTCTGTTATGGAGGACTGCCCTATGCATTGTAGGATGTTTAGCAGCAACTGTAACCTCTACTCATTAGATGCCAACATCACTGCCAAGTTGTGACAATCAAAAACTTCTTCAGACATTGCCAAATGTCCACTGGGGGAAAAAATCTCCCTGAGAACCACTGGTCAAGAATAGTAGAAAACTGTTGTGTGGATTATAAAACCTCACTTACTAAATTCCTGTCATGTGCAGTCCTTGTGCTAGGCACTTTCAGAGCTGGATTTTGTTGTTGTTGTTGAGACAGACTCTCACTCTGTGCCCAGGCTGGAGTGCAGTGGTGTGATCCTAGCTCACTGCAACCCCAACCTCCTGGGCTCAAGTGATCCCCCTGCTTCAACCTCCCAAATAGTTGGGACTACAGGCACACACCACCATACCCAGTTAATTTTTGTATTTTTGTAGAGACAAGCTTTCATCTTGTTGCCCAGGCTGGTCTTGAACTCCTGGGCTCAAGCGATCTGCCTATCTTGGCCTCC